CCTTCAGGTAGTTTTTTGGCGCACATGGAAGCATTGCTTTGTTTTGTAGTTGTAGCCATAGAAGAAGGTAATGTTTCCACTGAAGCCATATTCAACAAGTTAATTCTTTAACCTGTTAAGGCCAAAAACACAAATGAAACATAGGTTTTGATTAAATCCTTTTCACACAAACAAAATCTGGAGCAAAATGAGGAAGACAGTGAAGAAAATCTAAAAGTAAGAACGAACCCAAAACCTAGCTAACGAGAATTGAAACAAAAGAAGACAGATAGTTTTACCTTAACTAGCTTTAGACGAGAGGGGAGAAGTAATCGGCGGCGGAATTGGTGAAGTAATCGAAAACCAACAAATCAAATCGGATTTGTTGGGTCCGTGAGAAGTAATCGACGGCGACGGATTTGAGAAGTAGGACGACGACGGAGACTACGAAAAGCCAAAACACGGTCACCGGAGAAGAGGAGAAGAGAAGAACCAGTCGCCGTAGAGAAATAAGGTTTCTCTTTTGTCGACTAGAAAAATAGGTTATTATGTTTAAACTGATTTTGATTTTCTTTTAAAAGTTTTTAAACAATAAAAAGGTATTACTGTGATTAAACGAATGTTTGATGGGTTAATCGATTTTTTACACGTTTTTTATTAAGTATTTTTAAACGAGTGCCAATCTAGTAATATATGAATGAATTAGTGCTAATCTGGATAAATTTCTCTTTTTTTTATCCTGATCATGTCTCATTTACTCGAGGTTTAGCCATGAGCAAAACTTACATGGAAGATAACATGAGTTAGCACTTTACTAAATCAAGGTTTGCATATACACATTTAAGCCTTGCTATTATATGTACAAATTTAAACCATGATACATTTACAATTCAAAATTGGAAGAAATCAAAATTCATTTAATTAAAGGATTGGTTTAAACAGAAAGGAGAGAAAAAGACCAAAGTATATATAAGCTAATTTCAATCGGTGCAAGTACATCTGAAATACTCGTCCACAGAGATATAAAGACGAAGGAAGATGCTGAATTACCGGATATACCCCTATGATGGATAGAGATATGCTTTGAAAATAAATAGGCAAATACGTAAATTACCAATGTTATCTCTTCTGAAACTCTGGTTTCCCACTCTTTCAAAACAGATTCCAAAGTTACAGTGAAAATAAAGAAAAGAAAATCAAGGAGAAGGATTTCTGATTTCAATCAAACACGTAAAGAAAAAGCTATCATC